ATGGATTATTTGGTATTTTGATGTCTAGTTTCTTGAGTTCTTAATTCCATATCAGCTTTTATTTTTATAACAAATCCTCCTTTTAGTGAGTCATTTGCCTGTGATTGTATGTAACCAAGAAATTTGTTTCAGTTAGATCAAATTCTACTCATTTTTGGAAAAAAAACCTATCAAGCATAAGGCTTTTCTGAGAGTTTCTGAGTTTTGGTTGGTTGGTTGGGGCCAACATCTGTAGCATTGTGGTGCAAATTGTTTAATTACCCAAAATTGACAGGTCGCTGTCACTGCTGCTTCATTTTGCACTTGACAGGGAACTGTGGTCACATTTTCTCTTCCTATAATGCTGTAAGATATCATGTCCCTGTTGTTTTTTTTAATCTGACCCGCTTAATGACTGTATAAACTTGGATTTACCCTAGTGGTATAAGCATTGTTCCTACAATGAACATGTATCAATTGCTATCACAGAACAAGGTTATAAAATCACAGTTATGCCTTTGCTAGGCTATGTTGGATAAAGCAGTGTCTCTTCAGTCTTTATGAAAGAAGACTGCGGCCTCCTAGGCAGCCATTCATGGGAGCTTAATTTTGAGTTTTACATGCTGCTTAGAATCAGGCATTTTTGCTATTTGGGGTTTCTTGAAAATAAATTAATAGCAAACAAATTCCCAAATACTGATAGAAGAGCTAAACATTTTTTCATAACTTCCTCATCATCCACCAATTCATAGAACATTAATCTCTCAGACACATCATCCTTCTTACATTTGTCATTCATATCTATTCTCTGTAATTTTACCTTAGTTTTTTAATGAAGGGTAGGAATCTTTCACCCTTTAACCTGGAAGCAGGTTAAATTACAGCTCAGAATTTGATTTGCAACACTTCCATGGATTTTAATGATGATTAAACATGCCCATCTAAAGAGAGGAACTGGCCACAGCTCATTCCCACTAGGCTGGTAGCAGAGACTGTAGACCCAGGGAAACACAGGCGGGTCAAACCCAGTAGATTTTTCAGGATTACATACAGGCCCCTAGCAGAATACACTAAGGCAGAGGTTCCCTGGCTGTACAGCTCAGTGCCACCAAGGCCCTAAAGCCAGGCTTGCCATTTAAGTCAGAGAGGACACAAGCTGAGCATGAGCATGGTCATTTTCTCTGGAGGCTTTTTGGAGTCTTAATAACAGATTTGTGTATTAAAATTTACAAGAAGAAAATCCACAAACTTCTTCAAAACTTGCTTTGGATGCCATGTTTATGAGGCATGTGACAGAAATGGTATTGCACAGAACTCACTTTGCTGAGTGAGAGCTTTCTGCCAGGTATTGCCAACCATGGCCTTCCCTCCAAGTGCTGGAAGAACCACTTACTGCAGTGTTTTCCTCCATGGATATGAGGTTGCACAAAATGTGTGCAGGATTTTTATTGCTTTTGTTAGACTGTGTTCTTGTATGTGCTCTGCTAGTAGTTAAGCCCTTGGCTGTAATTCCCATCTACTCACTTTGGAGAGCAGAAGATGTGCTATTATGATGTGACAAATAAGAATTTTGCATAATATCCTAACTGTATTTTGAAAACTATGATCGACTCTGTGTGCTCCTCAAACAGCTACTTACCTATTCAGGAGTCTGACAAAGTAGGAACTGGCAGGTTTTTATTTAATAGCAAAGTTTACAACAGCATTAATACATTTGCCAGGCACCCCTAACTTCAGAGCTTTCTTTGCTAGATGTGTCTGTCCCTGAACTCTACAACAGGGGGTATATTCTAATTCAAAATTTAGTGTGAGACTCAATTTGCCCATCAACATGAATCAACAATTTCTGTCTCAGATTGGTATTCACCCTCAGCATAATCTCTACCCTGAAGAATAGTCTTTCAACAAATCAACTTCTTCATTGGTACTCAGAAAACAAATTGTTGAGTACATACACACCAACAAGATTTATAACGGTAAATAAGCTAATTAGCACATGTTCCATATACTGCACACCCAAATTGTCTTATCTCTTAACCACATCTTGTTTTTCTAGAAGGCATAGCAAGTGACTTGATTTTCATAATTTAAGAAACAAATTTAAGCTGCTATCAAAATGTAATCTGCACTAATCCAGACACGGTAAAAAATTATACAGCTATATTATTCTGAAGTGTTTACATTAACAAGATCATTTTGAATCATTCATCAATTAGCATTATCAAAATCAGATGGGAAATTTCTAGAACTTGGACCTGAAGAATACAGGTTTGGGGTGAGATATGATATATATATATACATAAAAGCAAAACTGAGCATTAGCGAACTAGGTTAGGAACCTACCCACTGGAAGAAATTCATTAGAGGAGACCCCATGGCCCAGCAACTGAGATGGAGATGCCTTTAGAGGACCCGGACTTGTTTATTATCTTCCACTCTCCATTCTGTCTAAATTCAACCAGGTACCCAACTCTAGGTTTGACCTTGTACTGGCTTCTAAGACAAGGTCTTTTGCCAACACACATACACACACACACACACACACACACACACACACACACACACAGAGTAACCTTTCCTGGCCTCAATCCAGCCTAATTTCTCTATAGGGCTACATCTCCCTAGCTATGATTTGGGGGTGAGAGCTGAGCTGCCCTGACACTGGATGAGTTACCCCATCACTTTCTGTCAGCCATGATTACCCCCTGCAAGTCCTGGATACACCTTGACTACTGTCTGACCTTATTTTTTGAGGGTGTCACTCAGTTTGGGATCTCAACTATCCCAAATTCCCTGTCCATTCTTTTGTTCAACAAAAATTAGAGCCGTGTAAATTAGAAAATCTAACTCCATCCTCTAGTCCATGTCTATATCAGGCCCCTCCTCTTTCATACTCTCTAATCCCCAAACCCTAATTATCTTCCACTACCCATTTACCATCACAGAATAAGTGCTGTCTGAGATTTCTGTCTGCCTTCTCCACAGCCTATAACCAAAGAGCACTGGTCCTGCTGAATGAATCTTAGCAGCTGAGACATTTGCTGTCAATGGGTAAAGTTACAGCAACTTTTGCCTTCTGAGTATTCCATTACTTGCTATGTTTTGTTTTTTCCATTTTTGTCTTTGGCAATTTTTCATGTCTTGGAGTCACTGGAATTGGTATCAGAAAAGGCATCCAGTTATAAGCAAAAGATAAAAACCTTTTTTTTTACCTTAAAATAAGTCTTGCTAATGACTCTCATAGCACGCTTGCCAAGAAGAGATTCTGAAGATGTTAAACTGAGGTAAACTGCTGTGCTGCAGGGAGCTAAGGCCTGTATCACCCACCAGATGTGGAGAGAGGAGGCTTATATCATTTTACATCCCTTGAAAACTGAAGCATCAAAGTGACGTAGCCTTTTTTCCCCCAAAAGAAACTTTAAATTTGAAATCTCTGATAACTTACTGAAACTCTAAAAATACGAAACTCCCTTCCAGAAATGTAGCCATGCCAACAATACTCACAGGTACAAATGTTCTCAACTTAAAGCAGGAAGAAAAGAAAAATGTGAGGCAGAATGTCTTGGATTTTCACTCAAAATTGCAGTCATTTTGCCCGCAATAAATATGCTACAACCAAATTGACTATCACAATTGTACAATGAAGGATGAAAATTCAGAGCCTCTTATAGCACACTCAACAATTGTGCAAGGCACAGAGAGTGACAGGTTGGTCCCATTATGAAACAGAATGGCGTTAACAGACACTCTGAGATGATGTGTCCCAAAGAGTTGGGACCACACAACCTTAGTTCTGCATGACATTAGTCCCTATACTCACAGGGCCTCAGCCATTTCATCTGCTCAACAGAGCTAGCAACAGAATCTGCTTTGTGGGATTATTATGAGGATTAAATAACACAATAAAATCATTTAAAATCGCAGTTGTTGCTTGGGAAAATATAAGTACAGTTTTCTGGCAACACTCCATTACATTAACCTCGGCTGTGCTCACATACAAGCCAGAGCATGGAGCTTAAAGGATTCCATTGGAAGAGTAATGAAAAGTAAATAGAGTCTCCTGCCTCCTCTAACTCCAGCCTGTGTAGACCAGCATAGGCCAAACGAGACAGTGTCAAAGTCTAAACAGCTCAACTAAGCTTCACACTGAGCACTGAAGACAACAAAATCACTGTCTCCTTTGGCTCAGGCTGTCTGGAAGTCTATTTCTTAGCTCCTGTCTTCTGTGTAATGACTTATTTCCTTGCTGTCATTGAAACCTCATGTTGACGAAGTATCAGCTATGAGACCATTTACTATTTGTCAATCTGACAAAAAAAAAGTTTGGTTTTCTTGAAAAAGTCCTTTTGCGACATGTAAGGCATCCCTAAATACAACATCTTTGCATACCAAAGGTTGCCAGCTTTCTATCCAATCCTATGTAAGTACCTCTCAAATCTCAGAAGGATTCTTTCTCTGTAGGACTGCTACCAGGTTCTGCATTCTATCAAAGCATGAGTCAATCACCCATCCAACTGAATGAAGAAACACAATTTTAACGTATACCTAAATGTCTCAGAACACACATCCTCTACAAAACATATTCTAGTTAGCTTCAGTCAGGAGCACTTCCCTCATTCTAATCACTAAAGTCTTATCCCAGCCCTAGGTCTGTCTTCCATTATTAGTTATGCATATATTTTCTATTATCATTTGGATTATAATATAGTCCATGAGTATGTCACCTATATTCTCCATTGACTATAAACACTTCAAAGACTGAATCTCTTTAATTCCACAAGAATATTGCTATTTAACATATTTATTCATAATTATTAAACATCCACAATATCCATTTATAATGAGGATTTAAAGTTGGATGAGGTGGTCTTCTAATTTCATTCAGTAATTCATGAAGGGCTTGTGATCAAGTAGTGTGATGAGCTTCTTTGCTTTTCTTTTTTTTTTCCTGAAACTAGAGCTATCTACAATTTCATATTAAACTCCATTGAAATCTTTTCTTTATGTTTTCTTCTCCCCAGGATAGTGGCCAAAGCCTCCAAGAATCTCATGTCCACACAAAGCTTAGGGATTGTATTTGGACCCACCCTTCTGCGAGCCAAAAATGAGTCGGGGAACATGGCGATACACATGGTATACCAAAACCAGATAGCAGAGTTCATGCTGAATGAGTATGATAAGATCTTCAGCTCAGAGGAAGACTGACAGACAAGACAAGCCTCTGAGTATGTTCACATCTGTCTTGATGCCTAATATTTTTACATTTCTGTAAACATATTTCTGAAATATTTTTTCCTTCCAAGCGACAGATGCTTCATTTTGTGAAAACTTAGTGATGATTTTGTATTTAAGTTCCAAACATTTGAATAAAATAAATGACAATATTTTCCTATATGTGTTCTACATTAACCCCTTGGGTGTTACTCTTCTTAACATTCTAGAAATACATCATAAATGTCTCACCGCCTTAAATAGTGTGTACACGATAGCACCATGTAGCTCTACTACTGCTCCTTGGCATCAGGTATGTGCTGGTGTATGTTCAGATATGTGACTATGTAGAAAAATTGTGGGTAAGTATGAGTGTGTATGCTGTGTGCTTTCTCAAGATCCATATGCATCAATGCTATGTCCCCACATACCTAAGCAGCCACAGAGAGAACACAAGCAATAAGAAGGCATCAATGTTATCAATCAAAATAGAGTCCTTCCATCTTTCAAGAGTACAACCCAATTATCATTTGTGGTGATACCCATCATCAGTGATGGATGAGCTTTGTAAATACAGCATGTTGAATGGCAACTTTTCTGAAGAACAAAAGAACAGTTCAAGAGATTTGTTGTTGGACTGCCCTTTTTGTGTGTGAATACTGTTTTGGTTCCACAAATGTACCATTTAGTAAATTAAATGGATTGGTCCTTGTTTCACATAGAGATTGCATTGTTATTCCATTGTGATTCTTCATCAAATTGTGTATCTTCCTTTCCTACAGCTACATCATTTTATGTAGAATTTTTATTATGTTTTATTGGAGAGTTACACTAACTCCAGCTAGAAAGATCTATTTTTAAATGCTTGTATTAGTATGCCCTATGGATTCCTTGACTAGACTCATATTATTTTATCCATTTGTTGGTTACTTTCAATTGTGATTGATTAAACAAAAGGATAACTGTCTAAAATATATCAAACATTACTGTATTTTAAAAAGTATGTTGTAGCTGAACACATCTCATGCCATTTATGAAAGAGTTCTGCTGATAGAAATATAGGTTTATGTTTGACAGCTTTTTAATAAACTCAAATGGAATGAATAAAACTAATTCAGTGTGATGAGTAAGTCTAGTTATCAATTTGATCATAAAATTAAAAATAAAGCATGTAAATTCCATGTGTGAAGCATGGTTTCATGAGCAGACACTCAGAGAAATGAGCTCAGGGGCATATGTTGTAGCATTGATGGGTCATTCAGAGATGAGAAAGAGAGACTTAAGAGACAGTCAGATGTTCTGAAGTACCAACATCCACAGTACTGCCTGAGAATGCTTGCCTGAGGAAGAGCTCAGTATCCTTGTCCCTTTTGAATGTCTTTATTTTAGTAAATGTGCCAATACAGTCGATAATAGTGAAGTAGTCACAGTGAATTCTTCAGTGTGGTTTCATCAAGTGGGATGTGTATGTATTATATCAAAAAGCCAAGAAAAGTCATAAGAAACAGAATCCAATGATCTGGAGCTATCCAGTAACAATGAAGCAACAGGATGACTAAGCTGTAAAAGATTCTACATGTAAAACTGTACTTGTTCCTTTCAATAACACACAAAGAAACATGAAACATGGGATTCTGGCATCGATGTCCCGTCTTCCCCAATGCTGCAACATTCTCAATGAAGTATTTTCCAAGTCTTTAATTATTTCTCCTTCTGAAAAGAGAACAGTAGGGTTAGAAGTTCCAGTATTAAAACGTTGTGTCTCTACAAAACCATCTTTGCAGATATTCTGGAAGCTTCTGCCAGAGAGAAATCACACTGAAAGCCAAAGAGAGTGGCACTACCTGCTTTGAGCAAAGATCCACATCCCCTTGTCTCTGCTGCCTTCCAGATTCATAATCTTCAAAAGCACCAGCTTCTTGATTTCCAATCAGATGGGATTTAGCCTGATTCAGACCCCAGCTGTGCCCTGTTCCTGCCTGCTAAGGGCATTGCATCAGAGAACATGTTTCCTCTCTAGACAAAGACCTTTCCAGGGTACTGAGCCAAGGTGCCCATCACAGGATCTCATTTGCCCACTCTAAAAGCATAGAAAGGTCATGATATTCCATAACATTTCAGTTAGCCATGATGCCTAGGATCATTGTCCCGAGTGATAAAGCCAAGTTTCTGTACTAGGTTGAAGCACTAAATGATTTTATGAAACCGGACAGTATTCTCCAACAGCAAAACGAAATCAAAACTAGGAAAGTTAGCAAGGGTTTCTTACCTGGTCTGAGCCAGGCTCAGTTCTAGGCACTGAAGATATGACCGCCATGATAAAACACATATTATGTATTGCTACCCTCTGTAGGAAAGGAAGACAATTGCCCAAGGATTAGTTACTAGATCACAGATGCTATCCAAAAGGGCAAACCTTAGCATTTAATACCTGTACATAGAAATGCTCAAATAGATTGGCAGTGCCAGTTACAGAAATATTTTTTTAAAGTGCAGTAGTTGGTTATCAAGCAACTGGTTGTAACTGGGGAAGTCAGATTAGGCTTCACTGTTGAGATCATCTGGGGAAGTTCTATCTATTTGTGACTGATAGATAAGATTTATTTGACAAGGAAAAATATAGAAGGCACATCAAGCAGGAATGAGGAATTGGGGAAGGCCTGATACCCCCAAAGCAAATTGAGAAAGTCATTAATTAGAGATTATACGTGTGTGTGTGTGTGTGTGTGTGTGTGTGTGTGTGTGTGTGTGTGTGTGTGTGTCTGATGATTTAGGAAGACAGAACTACAGAAATTGGTTGAGGTTAAATGTGGACCAAAATATTCAGATCATTTCTTGTAGGCAAAGGAGATCTGTTGTGGGTTGTAAACAGTTTGGACAAAGAATCTCTAAATTCCCTAGTAGTCAAGAGATACAAACCCCCTGAGAAGATCCCTGTTCTCTTACAGAGGCTAAAGCTCGCAAAATACATTGGTCATGTGTCTATAATTTTTTAACATTTCTTAATAATGCAATAATAGTCTTGTACTCTCAGAACCATGTCTACAGAATGACAAAACATTCTAATCTAACGAATAGAAGCACAAGTCCAAAACTGTCTCTCTGTAAAAATCAAGTCAGCTGGAATGCCCACTTTACCCACACGTTTGTAAGAGAGTGCCCTCTTTCTTCATGGAAAAGGTGGCTATTCCATCTCACATGTTCTGAGTCTGGCTTTACTTGCATGTGCCATATGACAGGATCATCATGCCACAGCTCATAATTGAAAGCCTTATGATGGTTCACCCTATCCAATTAGAAAACAAAGGATCCAATTAAGAAAAATTAGAAAAGCTGTTAGAAGGAAGCAATCACTTGCCAATACTGCTGTCCTTACAGCTTAACACAGCTAGAAATTGACCTGTACTTCTCTTCTCCACATTTATTTTTGTGAATTATAAGTTAATCACCCTGTCAATTCCTAATTAAAAGGCCCTGCAAAGATTTTCATCCAAAAGGACCGTCACTAAAAGTTCTGGGTCAAATTGCTCTGTTGTCAAAAATGAGAAAAAATTCCAAAACAATATCAACTCTCTCCTTGGGAATTCAAATCTTAATATAAAAAAGAAAATGTTCTCTAAATTTTATTTCTTTAATTAAAAAGCATCATCTGGTCATCCCTGAAAACATACATATGAGTAACATTATAGAAACTAAGCAGGTTTGTATTTATGTTTTTAGGCATACCTGTATATACACATACATATGTAACAGAATCAATGAAAAAGGAGGTCATGGATTTGAAAGACAGAAAGGAAGAGTACCTTGAAGAGTTTAGAGGTGAGTCAGAGAAGTAGAAAATGATGCAATTATATTACAATTTCAAAAAATAAAGGAAATGGTTTTAAAAATGCTTCATCTTATCTTTAAAATAGAGATAGGTTACTCTTCGTATGTGTGTGTGTGTGTGTGTGTGTGTGTGTGTGTGCGTGTGTGTGTGTGTGTGTGTGGTTCTTTAAGTGAAGGGCTGCAAACTCAGATGCTGAGTGGGTCCAGGCATGTAACATAAATGAGTAAAGAGAAGCAGGCAGCCGGCACTATGAAGTGGTAACAGCTGGGGAAAACTCAAGCTCCCTGCCTGGCCAAAAGACAGGCTTCTACTCAGCTGGAGCTGATGTTGCTTATGTGGGAATGAGAGCCATGTTGCCAGACCTTCAGATCTTTCATGGAAAGCCAGAATTGAGAATCTTCTATGAAATCTGATTTTTAAGACACTAAATAAGCTACCAAATAAAACACATCTGAGCAGAATCGGCCTAAAGACCAAGTCTTTTTTGTGGCCTCAGTGTTAAGCCTTCCAAGTTGCAAAGCTTGTTCCCCAGAAAACGGCACTCTTTGGAGTAAATTGTGGAGATAAGGGAATGAGCCAAAGCAATATGAAAGAACATGCAAGCAGCAAAATATGTCGAACTTACTGTTCAAATTCTGAGCCCATCTGGAACTCTCTTGTTTTCTGATTTATTAAATGCAATATATGTTTTTTAATCTTGCTGTCTAGTGAATAATGTGGTGAGAGTTAAGAAGGTAATGTGTATCTCATAAATTGTCACTTAAAGATGTAGATGATTGATCCATAACTTAATAATATATAACTTTATATTCTGAAGATGATGGAAGGAAGGTTGGGACCAAACTCTAAAAAGCCTTGAATGGCATGTCACATCTCTAGTCAAGTTTTTACAACCTAGATCTTTCATCAGGAAATCGACTTTATCAGAGTTCTGATGCTATGAAGCAGAGCTTGGTGTGTGGAGAAACTGTGTGCACCCTTGTCAGACAGAACATTATTGCCAAAGCACCATTAATGCAGTCCGAATTCAGGCTGGCAGTGGGTAAAGAAGTTGCTCTAGATATCATCTGTTCTCTGTTGAGGCTTTACCCCCATCTCAGTTACCATTGCTAAGCAAAAAACACCAGTCCCAATTGAACTAAATTTCTATAAGCAAGTTCATTTCTGAATTACTTGCTGGCCTGGGACCATGGTCCATTCTGATATTCGGGCAATAATTTGTCATTTAGCAGTCATTAATATATTTTGACCAAATCATACCAAAGTAATATGACTGTGCCTGCTACCAGAACGATCCTCAGACAGTCGTGGGGTCATTTCCATCACATCACACCTGATTTCACACCCCTTTCTCTCATCTCAGTATTGCATCTCTCTTTCCATGCCTCCAAGCAAAATCAGTCCCCGAAAGATTGGATTGACTAGCTAACATATATGAAACACTAGCTCTGTGTCAATGATGGTCTTCTTTGTTGTTTTATTTACCCCTCGCAACTTCTGCAGGCAAATACTCTTCTTGTCCCTTGGTTTATCCTTAAAGAGATACAAGTGAGCTGGGCAGTGGTGGTGCATGCCTTAATCTCAGCACTTGAAAGGCAGAGGCAGGTGGATCTCTGTGAGTTTGAGACCAGCCTGGTCTACTAGAGAGAGTTCCAGGACAGCCCCCAAAGCCACAGAGAAACCCTGTCTTTAAACCCCCCAAAAGAAAGAAAGAAAGAAAGAAAGAAAGAAAGAAAGAAAGAAAGAAAGAAGGAAGGAAGGAAGGAAGGAAGGAAGGAAGGAAGGAAGGAAGGAAGGAAGGAAGGAAGGAAGGAAGGAAAGAAAGAAAGAAAGAAAGAAAGAAAGAAAGAAAGAAAGAAAGAAAGAAAGAAAGAAAGAAAGAAAGAAAATGGTATTACCACGTCCATGTAATTAGTAACTTGCCAGGGCATTATTCAAGCCCAAATAATATGGCTCAAGAGATCCTGCCCTACTTGGAATGGTTAATCTCCGTTGTCTGTTTGACCAGATTTAGACTTTCCAGGGTATCTCTGAAGACATCTCCAGAGACATTTAACTGAAGAGGAGAGATCTGCTCCAAATGTGGATGGCACTGTCCCATGAGCTGGGATCTTAGACTGAATAAAAGCAAAGGGGGAGTGTGGGGGGGTTATAACTGGACTAAGCATCAAGCATTCAGCTGTTTCAGTGGCCTGACACATCCATTGTGAACAACGGCCCACATGCTCACCTCATATTGATGGATGGTGCTATCTCACTGTGAGCTAATACAAACCCTTCCTCC